ATATTTCACATATTTACTCCAGTCTTTCAAGAACTTATGGTCCCGTTGGTTACAAATCCTTCCTGTCACCTTATCCAATTCTGCGTAGTCCATCAGTTTTATCTGCCAGTCCTCCTTTGTCAGCAACTCTTCTTGTTTCCATTTCTGTGCCAACAATATTCTCACAGCCATTATAAAAATAACTTTTTATCTTGTCTATTAATGTCCGTACCTACAATACCTAGTAGAAAAGCTTCTGGTTTTTTAACAAATGTATATTTCAATAATTGGCCAATTTCTTCTAGATAGTTGAGCTAGAGGAAAGCAGTGCAATGGGACTTCCCCCTTTCACACCTCCTGCCCCTTCTCAAATCTGCTCTGGAGGGATGAGAGAATAGTGGAGATCATTCCACCAGACATGCAGAAATGCTTGTGCTGACAGAACAGTATCCTTAATGCTGAGTTGCACCAATCACATAAAAATGATCAGTGTAAAGCATCTTAAAACAAATGTCAGTGTCTGAATATCGGTGATGCTACTATAAAACACAATGGAAACCATTTTTGGATATATTAGACAACTATCTGGGTGCACCAACCCCATTTTGTTCTCTAGAGCTTTATTCCACTACATTATACACATTTCCATGGGAGTTTGAGTCGTACCCAAGTGGAAAATCAAATTAACTTGTTGAGTAATTTTTATTCCTCTTTAATTTGTATGGGCCCCATTAAGTGGCTTGGGTTTTTTGTATGTGTTTTGCTTTGGTTACCCACTGCCAACAGCAGCAGGCACAGCAGCAGTGGAAAGTCAAAAGCAGCACTGAGCTCGTTCCATGGTACTTGCATTTAGTTGCTATAATGGATCATTTCATGTGCTGCCACTGTTACCAGCATCTATCTGAGATGGTTGGGTGTTTAGTAAAAACCTTAACAGCATCGCCTTCACTTTCCCCAGCTGCTTAGGCAAGTTTATCTTAGCATGGCAGAATGCCATTAGGTTTTCCAACCCATGGTGCAGATTATCTTGAATAAAGTCCCCAAATCTGGAACTCAATTTATTGCTATTTTCCCTAGGACCAGCTGAGGACATTTTGGGCTGCATCCAATGTTCTCTGCTAGTGCAAAGGTTCTTTAATGTTGCACAACCAAGGAATCCAACACAATTCTGTTAGCAGAAATGAATTGTGTAACAGATTGCACAATCTATTGTGCAACATAGTTAGCAGCAACTTGCGTATGCATTCTCTTGTGCAACAATGTCCTGATGGCGCAAAATGTTTTGCTATCAGAAAAAGTATATTGCTAAGTGATTTCAGCTTAGCACTACATTGGATACAACCCTTTGTTGCCTAAGATGAAGGGCAAGTTGATTGTCTTCTATTTCATATACAGAAGCAGACTGGGGTAGAAGTTGCTTCTTGCTTCAAAAGTGGCAGAAGACAATAGCTCAATTGGTAGATCATGAGACTCTTAGTCTCAGGGCTGTGGGTTCGAGCACCAGGTTGGCTAAAAATATTCCTGCATTGCAAGGGGTTGGACTAGGCCCTTGTGGCCCCTTCCAACTCTACAGTTCTATGATTCTGTGACATCAGCATTTCAGCTCAAGTGGTGCAATGCAAACTAGGGTGCTCAGGAAGAATGGCAGGAAGCAGCAGCACACACAAAGTAGGGTTTGCTGCCTGAAGCAGCTGATCACTCTGCCTATTTGCAGAGGCAGCCTTGCAGTACTCACATGTGAGCAAAGGACCATGTTTGGTGACTATTGCTATTGCTGGGATTTGACCTAGTCCAAGACACTGACCGGCCCATGGGAGTTTAGCATCTTCCTTTTCTGCTTCCCTGTTTTGCTTGATACCTCCTGTAGCAAGGAAAGTAGGCCGAGATGACTTCTCACACTTGATTCCAATTTTCTCATTTAGTAGCATCTGTAGGTCCTATGTATTTCAAGTGTCCCTTGTTTATGAATGATACTAGAGGCTGCACTTCTAAAGCAGGTCAAAGTCTGCCTAAGGAATACGTATTGGGAGATGGTGTATTACTCTGTGGGTGGAGGCAGCACTTGCGCTCTTAAGGAGGCCCCAGAAAGCTCAGCAGGTGTAATTGTACCATCAGCAGTTTTTCACAGTGTTAAGAAAGGGTGGATGTGGCAAACACCTTCGATCTGCAGGATCCCAAACCCTTGTTCCCATGAAACAATTCTGAAAAGGGGGGCAGAATCCTACACCAGTGCTGGAAAGAGTGTAGTGATTTTCTATCCATTATGTTAATATCAATGGGAACATTAGCAACAGAAATAAATAAATCAGGGGTGGTGGACAGAGCAAACAAGAAAATTCCACCACCTTCCATGCTAGTCAGTGAGGCAGCAATGATTAGGAAGTTCTTCAGTTGTGGGATTTCCCCTCTCCCCACATTTTAGGATTGCCCAGGTAGCCTTGTGTTCTTCAGTATGCCCCCCACCACCACGCAGTCCAACTTCTCCATCAGTAAGCACTCATATAATCATGCCACTTTGACATCCTCTGGGAATAAGGATAACCCTCTCTTTTTAAAGGATCTGAATCAGGAGGCTACAGCGATTGTATGAAACGATCTGTCATGCTTCTCTGCATTCCTTTACCCATTAGAACATTGTCGAGTTTAAGATTAAGCACTCTTCCTGCTGGATCACAGGCCCTGCATCTCATTAAAGTAAACACACTATGTCCTAGAGAATTAAAAACAAAGGACAACCAAGAAAGTGTGAGATGGGGGAAAAACCCCAAATCTATTAAAGGCCCCAATAGGAGGCTCATTTCTTAAGAAAAGACCCAGAGCAGCCGCCATATTAATGGCTTTCCCTTGTCCAATGACAAAGCTATGCTCAGTTTTGCAGCTCAGTTGCTGACACACTCCGAAATAATCTAGTGGTGTATTATAAATGGAAAAGTTCCCTTGTGGGGATAATACTGTTTTCCAGTTCCATAGAAGCGTGTTTTATTTCTTTATGTACACTTGACACCCAGAAATAAATCCTATTTTATACTTTAGCAAAAATAACCAGGAAAGGTTGGGTCAAACTCAGTTCTGGATAATACTTCTGAATTTCTGGAAACTCCACATGTATACAACCGATTCTAATTTATCCAGGAACAACAACTAAAAAGGAATCTGATGAGTAATAGCTTACCTCACAGTCCAAGAGTTTTTTCTTGCTTCTTATCTGTGATGGGGCTCCTGTGTTCTCCCCAGTGTAACATAGCTAGCTTTTGGAAAATATGTCTCCAAAAACAGCTTTGAAAATTATTTTCATATAGCCAATTGCAAAATGGTAGTAGATGAAAATAATAATGGGATTTATGATTATTATACTGGAGTATTTGCCCATTCTGAATAACTTTTAATTATTAGCTACAGGAGTTTACCCTATAGCACTCTTCATGATTCCCAGACCTGGTGCCTATATACAGCAAACGTTCCATCTTCAATGGCTAGTCATATCATTGCCTTAAATAGTTAAAGGAATCATTAAATATAAAAACAGTCTGCACAAACTGTAGTTACATCAGCTAATGACAAACCTCTTAGCTTTAATAGCCCATGTGGCTTTGCATCATTAATAAACTATTTAGTGATGTGATTAATTTGAGATCTTATTTTTAAGTATTAGCACCACTTGTAAGAATTTATTAAAAGAACCATTTTCTTTAGTAATGCACTGATGGGAAAGAGGTTGGTAAATTAAGGGGCAACGATTTTGGCTGCAGAAGCAAGTTCAAAAAATGGGGGAGTTAGTGACAATTTGTTAGCCAAAAATGTATTGGCCCACACCCTTGACAGAACAATCTTCGAGGGAAATGAAAGGGCAGTTAAGCACTCTTGGTGGAACATCACAAATTTTTCCCTGGTGACTGAACTTCATGCAGAATCAGTTTGCAGTGTTAATTCCCAATATGGCCCAGGCCATAGCCTTACGGAGACAGGAGGGAAAGAAGTGTTCTATACAGCCTTATGGAGACAGGAGGGAAATAAGTGTTCTATCCAGCAATGACTGCAAATGCATAGAGATGATCCGCAAACTGGAATATATTTAGAGGATGACAACACAGATGGTTTGGGGATAGAGAACAAGGATGTGAAGAGCTGGAGCTGTTTAGCCTGGAGAAGAGATTACCATATTTAAAAGGCAACATGACAGTTTTCTTCCAATATTTGAAGGGCTATTACATAAATGGGCAAAACTGGTTTTCTTTTGCTCCAGAGGGTAGGATCTAAACCAAGGGATTCACATTAAAACAGAAAATGATTTAGATTAAACATTAGTAAGAATGTTCCCAACTGCACTGGCTGTGTTGACAGTGGAGAAGACTATCTCTGAAGATGGCAGTGGTGGTCTCTCATTTCTAAGTGGGTATGCAGCAGATTCTGCTTAAAGGAATCTCCTGTTGGGTGTACTGCAGTAGTGGATTTTCTGCTAAATAAGATGACCTTTGCAGTTCCCTCCATCACAGACAAGAACACTTTAAATGAGGGTGTGTACCCCTTTGGCTACGACTAGCATTTCCCTACTCCCCAGTTCTGTGTACATGTCAAGGGGGAGGGCAGGTCACATGCAGATCTTTGAAATAGGCAGAACCTCCAGCCTGCTCTAAAGTTCATCTCAAAACACACTCAAGTACCTCACTTGAATTCTCTGCAATACATAGAGAATCAAGGAGAAAGTGACAAAATGAATAGCCGAGTGTCCTTAAGGTGACAAGGATAATTACTAAAAGGCTAGGGGCAGTCACTCCTTCTGACTGCATGCTGGAGGGCAGAAAATGCATTAGATAAATTCACACTAAACCTATTTAGGTGTCTACTGTTTCATGCTGCCATCTTGCCCTCTGCACCACTTGTTGTAAAGACACGCGCATAGCCTCAAACATCTAGTAGTGAAGGGGAAAAAAATATTTTTCTAAAGAGTTACAGAATGCTCACCTATCTTTCATGGTACTGCAGCAGATTGCACATGACTTAAAAAAAAATACACCTATGTGCCCATTTGTGCTATTCTTTATTTCAGGTAGCCAAAGAATCCAGGTGTATGTTAAAACCAGATTGGTCTTTAACTCAAATCAATGTACCGTAAGCAGCAGTACTGATTACGAATGACAATTGCGGTATTCTGAATCTGTTGGATTGTCATCAGATAGGCAATAGTATGTCATGATGTATTGTGCATGTCTTGTTACAGTTTACAGATTTAAAGTATGACAATCTTAATGGGTGATGGGATTTTATCCTGTATGTAGAAGGGCATATAATACCAAGTGTGACAAGTTAGCAAAACAAAGAATTGACAAGACTGACACCTCAAAGTCTCAACAGGTGGCTCAATACAAAAATCTCATAGTCAAGACACATAATAAATTTATAATACACATAATAAAACTTTATTTTTTCAGTTGTAATATAAAAATACTTGAGGAAAAATAATGTTTTGCCCATCTGAAGGAGGGCAAAACTGGGGGGAAAATTGCAATAAGTAAATCCCAGCAGACTCCTTGTCAAGAACCTTGGCTATGTTTCTAAATACTTAACTATCAAAGAACGGTATCCAACAATGCCATGTTCAGACCCATTGAAATCAACTGACTTAGTCATGCATATCTTCAATTCATTTATTTCATTGACTCTACTCTGAGTACAACTTAGTATGATTTCATTAACAGGTCAAAAGTATTTTTTAAAGTTGCACTGCTCACGTCCACGATAGAAGTCTTGCAATAAACTTAATTCCCTCATGGTTTCTTCTACTAACTGCTTCAGATTGTATGAAATAGCCTGCAGAGAAGAACCAACAGTCTATGGGAACATACTTTCTAGCACTATCATTTCCAGAAAAACGTATTTTGAAGTTGTTGATCCAAACAACCATTGTTTTTATTCATTTTATACATTTCAAAGCTAGCTGTGGAGTAGTCCTCACTGAAGACTGTATGTCTGCTTCACATTTTTTAGTGAAAGTGTTATGATGAGGGAACGTGGATCTTTTCTGTTTTTGTGGACTGTTATCTTTCCTTTCAGTTCTTCACCTGCAAAACAATGCACAAATGAAGCAACTTTTATTAGTTTACCAAGGAAATGGTTACACACACTGTTACTAAATTTGCATGCACAGTGGCACCTGCTTCATTGAAGGCACTTCTTGTAATATGGTAAAAAGTCATGACAATTGAGATCACATTTGGGTGGCATGTTTTTGAATATCTGGGTGGCATATTTTTGAAAACTTCACCATCCTATTAATGCAACAGTAGGAAGAAAAGAGTCACCCTTAAAACACTAGAGCACTGAATTCTGCCCCCAGTGACTCTGGAAAAGTCCTTCTGCCTTTTGATTACCAGACTGAAACCCACCACTTCCAAAAGATTTCCCTAATGAGAATTCTGCACACACTCACATAAAACCATAAAGTTGGTTCTCTCCTGCTCAGAGATAGGTTTAGGGAATCTACTTAATGCAACACCATTGCTTTGATATCCCTTCAGTTGTTGGAAACTATGACATATGTTGTTTGACAGCTTTCTAAGGGCTAAGGGATGGGCAGAGACAGCAGGTAGGAAGGCAGCTAAGTGGCTACATACTTTTATGTTGCCTCTGACCTTTAAAACATAAACGCATGATATCCAAATTGGCACCTAGCAACCATCCTAAAACCTTTGTCAAGGAGACAAAAACCAATCACGCTTGATAACCTTCTGTGAAGTCTCTGTCAGGTTATCTAATGGGAGATGGAGGCACAGGTACTTTAACAAACTGAAGGTTTTAACGACCATGCTTTTTTTTTAAAAAAAAACACCAAACCACAGCCAAAACATCACAGCATTAGATAGGTAAATCCATCTGTTTGCAGTAGTCTGTCCTATGCTTTGTAATTGCATGAGTACTTGGAAATGGACTTTAAAGGATTTGGCTAAAGGGTATTTTGAAGAACTGCCTGTATTTAAGAAAGAACCAAATGTATTTATTTTATAAAAAGGTAAAGGTACCCCTGCCCAGTCTTGACAGACTCTAGGGTTGTGCGCCCATCTCACTCTATAGGACGGGGGCCAGCGCTGTCCGCAGACACTTCCGGGTCACGTGGCCAGCGTGACAAGCTGCATCTGGCGAGCCAGAGCCGCACACGGAAACGCCGTTTACCTTCCCGCCAGTAAGCGGTCCCTATTTATCTACTTGCACCCAAAGGTGCTTTCGAACTGCTAGGCTGGCAGGTGCTGGGACCGAGGGATGGGAGCGCACCCCGCCGCGGGGATTCAAACCACCGACCTTTCGATCAGCAAGTCCTAGGCGCTGAGGCTTTAATCCACAGCGCCACCCGCGTCCCATTTATTTTATATTACAAAGTAAATTGCTGACTGTTTTTGTTTAAGATTTGCCAGCTCTTTCTGTAGGTGTTTAGTACAGATATTTTGGCAATGTACCAAAAAGATCCTGCTTATTTAAATATTATCCCTTGATGTTTCAGCCAAATTTGTTTGTCCCAATCCTTCGAAGTGTGTTTAATTTGCTATTAAGCAGTTGCTTATATTCCACCCGACACAAATGTGCTTCAGCAGCGAGCAAAATCATCATTACCACCTTTTATGTATCTTTAGAGGTTTTCAATTGTTTTATTAATTTAGGGGATGAACATAAAGCTGCTAGTATAAAAAAGAGAGAGAAGTAGTTTAGTATAAATTTTGAAGACAGCACCAGCACATTTTATGCAAGAGCAAGTGTTTACTTGGCGTTAGAGGAACTATAGCAGACTGTACAAAATGGAGAGCCACTGTACCTTCAAGGGATGAGGGAAACTTGTTTTTATAACCAAACACATTAATTCTACAACATGTATGACAGAAGTCTAGATGAGCAATGAAATGAAAGGTTTTATCTGATGAACACGATAGAATTAAGAGACTTTTCAAGCCTTGGGCTGTAACTTAACTGGGAGCAAAATCCATTCAACTCAGCAGAAATTAATTCTGAAATGACATATGTATGGAATTGTATAGATATATTCTATGGAATGGTGGCACTAAGCTTAAAGCAGCCTGAATTAAGGCACATATTGGCTTTCCCCCAAAGTGGCTTTCCTATTCACTCTTCAAACCAGGAAGTGCAACTTCCTGCATATTTTATGCCTCTCCTTGTATAGAAAAATTAGCAAAGTCTTATCTGTGCTCAGGCACTGAAGGCTGTCAGCACTGACTAATTTATTTGTCCCATTTATTTTTCTTCTAATAGTGTAGCAGTTCGATCTATTCCCTTTATATAAAGCAACACCCCTCCTTGTATCTTTTTTTAAAATTGCGTTTTTAAATTTGAAATATAAATGCAATAAAAGAACGTATTCTAGAACTTTTACTCCAAAGCATTTGGTCCATAGGAAATCCTGTCTTTTCCTTCTGCAGCCAATCCAACCCTTTCTCGTAACTCTTTCCTTCTTCTGAGAGAGCAGGTAGAGAAATGAATCTTTGTGTCTCCTTATGTCACAAAACATAATTTTGCAAATTGAGCCTGGAGATTTTGTGAATACATTGATGCATACTCTGCTACCTTTATAACATTGCTATTTGTATGAAGTTCAAAAAACTGCATAGTGAAAGGGGAAGCTTTACTAAAATCACTGCAGGAGGAATGATTACTGATGGCTATTTTAAATTAACAGACCTTAAAATATCCCATCCAGATGCCTCATGTGTCTTCATAAGGGACAGATGCATGAAAAAATCAGCATGTTGGCAAAGTATAATCAATAGTTTCATAATTTATGCCAGATTAACTAACGCAGCAGACATGGTTTGATTTTTTAATTCTGTTCACAAATAGTCCAGTAATTTGTTATGAAAATAGGTAATGTACATTTGGCAGAAAAAACATACGGTATGTGCTCTCCACTTTTTGAGTGACTGGAGAAAGCCCACGTAAATCATGGTTTGATCTGAATTGTTAGTGTAAAACAAAAATATGCATACATGTAATGGGTGGGAGTATCTCCTTAGAAGAGCTATCCCTGTTCTGGAACCGGGTGACTCTTTCATGTATTAAAATATCAGCTCCTAAGTAAAGATCTTCTATTAATGTCATGTGAACAGGACTAGAGATTGGTTTGATGAGAAAAAGTAAGAAGGGAAAAAGCCTATTTGGTACCACATGTGATGTTTTCCAGCCCCCCCCCCCCCGCCTTTTAAAATAATTTCCTTTAAAGTTGCAGGATTGCTTTATTATAGTATTATCTTGAGTAGCAGGCACTCTTTGTACTTGGAGTCTTCATAAATTCAAGAATATAACTAATCTGACCTTTTTAGCTCTATGGAGCACCATTGTTTCCTTTGTCAGAAGCTCTGAGAAGCACATTCAATAACTGCATAAATACAGAATTAAATCTCTGTGCTAGTTAATATTGCTGACAGGGGCCTTTTGTGAAGTCATCATAAGCATTCAAGAACAGCAAGACCATACATGCGTCGGAATGCAAGGCACATCTGAACCCATTGAGCTGATGGGATTAATCTTATTCATTGTTGTGTATGACCAGTTATGCAACAGTGAAGAACTGAGGCCTTTTTAAAAAAAACAATTCCAAAAGAAAAGAGCAGCAGAAGAATTGAGGCCCTAAAAAAACCAACCCTTTCTATCCCCCACACCCCAAAGGCAGCAGAAAACTAATGATAGCTGAGAACTGAAGGTGTACTAGTTCATAAAAAATTAATTTGAATGATGCAAAATCTAACTCAAAATAATTTTGACAGTATAGACAAGATTTCACAAACATTTGGCGTATACATAAAAGAGGCTGGTCTAAAACACACACACACACACACACACACACACACACATGTATAGAATTGATTAATATGCCCAATCTGCCCCAATCTGCTCACAAAAATATCCTATGTCTGACAGCAGCACACAAAAGCCAGCCAAAATGTCCCTAAAAAGGTGGACAACCAGATCCTACTGTAGAGTTATAATTCTACCCCCTGGGGGTTTTATCAGAACACACAGTCTAAGTTTAATTGCATAAAAATGAATTAAATTTGCTATTTAAACAGCTCTAGTGATGCATACCTTGAGGCAAGCTGTAAGAGGCAACATTTCTATAACAACATACCACAGCTTTCATTAAAGGCAGCCCCCAGTTATTTATAATCATGTTAATTGCATTAAGCAACCCAGACAATCAGTTTAATTCATTGTCATGAGGAAGATCTCCTCCTTTTCCTCGCCCCAACAGGCCACGTTAAATCTTTTGTGCCCAGCCATTTCCGTTGCTAAACTAAAGCAATGGCTGTGTAATCATAACAGAGAGGAAGATCAGACCAATTAATCAATGCCATATAGATATAAAATGACTGATGTGCTTTCAACAGCTCTACTGCTCTTACGCCCTGCAGAAAACGCTTCCAGAGACTGAGCTGCATCACCTATGCTCAATAAGATGCAAGGAAGGCACAAGTCATGTCATGGTTTGATCAAGACTGAATGCATTATCTTTCTACTGCAGTACTGTCATTCTTCCCTTGGAGAACACTTAAGTTGGCTTTGCATAGTAAAAAGTACAGCAAACAGGAACGGAACAAGAAGTGTGCTGTTTCTGCAGCATACAAAATTAGTAGGTTTTTCCCCTCTTAAAAAGGCACTGCTCTATGGCTGAGCATGTTTTAGCATTTCTGCTCATGTATCATTGAGCCTCTTGCTTAAACCGAAGGGCTACTCAGTGACACTACAACATACTTATGGGACAAACTATTCATATGATGTGATATTATTTGTTTATAATATTTATTAGACACCCAATTAACAGACTCTCTGGGGATGCACAAGATGATTCAACCATTCCCAGTGCAAACAAAGGGGGAAAAGAGAAGACCAGCTCCAATTACAAGAATTAGGACTCAATTATAGCTCTCAGACAAGACAGAAAGTTTGTGGGATTATCATGCAAGTACAGAAACAGTACTCAAATGGAGAAAAAAGATTGGAATGACTACATTTCACGGTACCCAACAATAAAAGGCTAGAAAATGCCATTGGGGATCCAGAGGAGCTCCTCTGCCTTGAGCAGAAAAGATTGGTTATAGTCGCCTTTTCAAATGTTATGGCCTGTGAAATCCAAGGGATCATGGAAACGGCCCCAACGTGAAGCACACAGTAGCAAAAAACCAATGGGACAACAGTAAGGTAAAGGTAAAGGGAACCCTGACCATTAGGTCCAGTTGTGGCCGACTCTGGGGTGGCGGTGCTCATCTCGCTTTATTGGCCGAGGGAGCCGGCGTACAGCTTCCAGGTCATGTGGCCAGCATGACTAAGCCGCTTCTGGTGAACCAGAGCAGTGCACGGAAACGCCGTTTACCTTCCCGCCGGAGCGGTACTTATTTATCTACTTGCACTTTGACGTGCTTTCGAACTGCTAGGGTTGGTAGGAGCAGGGACCGAGCAACAGGAGCTCACCCAGTCGCGGGGATTCGAACCGCCAACCTTCTGATTGGCAAGTCCTAGGCTCTGTGGTTTAACCCACAGCGCCACCCGCGTCCCTTCTAAGTACAGCTGCTATAGAAATCTTCAAAGGAGCTTATCAGTGAAGCAGAATCAAATGAAAAAAGGCACATCCAAATACTGCAAAAAACAAACTATAACCGATTTGAACTTCAAAATGTATGAGGACCAGTGAAAAAATAAACAAAATGGTTGTCTCACCCCAAAATAGGAGGTGAAAAGTATGCTTACTAGGTGCAATGTGCAGGAGGAGAAGGAACAGGATACAGGACGTTACTAGGGGGTGGTTAGTAAGTAAGGTGGGGTGGGGTGGCACAAAGGTGGGGGAGGCAGTGGCAAGGACATGAGGATGACGGTGAAAATGGGTGCAAAGTGGGGCTGCAGGCTAGAAGAGAGAAGTGGCTCCAGAAATGGGGTTGGGAAAGCTTGGTGGCATGGGTGGGAAGGGGGTTAATGGAGTAATGGTAGGGGAGCTGACAAGCAAAGGAGAAGCTTCTAGTATTGTATATTATGTATTATCTTTGCTGGGGTGGTGTGTTAAGTTAAAAAGGCATCTCTTGCACATTACGGAGGCCGTGACCTTAAAGGGGGGGGGGAGAGTTTTGTCCAGAAAGGATGCAAGTCCCACTGAACTTCATTAAAGCAGCCAAGATTTGGTCTGCATAGTGCAAAGTAAGATTTGTAAAGTAAGTTTTTTCTAACTAGAGTGGTAGGAACTGATATGAATGAGTGATGTTCCAGAATATGATGGCGATTCACAGTGAGGTACAACAGAATGCTGTCACCATGCTCCATTTGTTCGTAATACCTTGCTGCATAGCTAAATGACAGAAGAAAGGGCAGCCTTAATATGTTATAGACAAGGGGAGCTATCCACTTTGAAGGGCATTTTTTGAAGTACATTCTTGACTGACATAGATATGCCCCATAGATTTCACAAGGCTACCTCATGAATGCTCAATGGTGTTTTTATGCAAGAACTGTCTTTAGCTTTGAAGCCTACCACAAATTAGAAGTCTTCCAGCTCTTAAAAGTTTTTTATTTCTCGCCAAAATAGAAAGGATATGCTTGAGAGCATCTCTGACTTACCAGGCTGCGATCTCAACCTAATGTTTAATATAACTTTTCTTGAAATCTTAAAAAAAAGGATTTTGCACTGACTTACTCTGAATGGGAGAAAAACCATTAACTTGAACCAAAAAAAGAGGGGGGGAAACCACACAAAACCCATTAGCAATAAAACAGCACATGGTTGCATTTTATGTTCTTGATAATGCCTTGCAGTGAAAATAAAATGTTTGTTGTTTTCCACAGCAATTTAAAAGGTTGTACACAGCAGAGCAGTGCAGCCAAAACTTGTCAGAGGAAAACACTTTTCTGAAGACCAGTTCAGCCTTGGTAGTTTAATATTCTAGGTAGGAGAAAATATGTACACACCGATGGACATTTTTAATGTATATGTCACGTGATTTATTCTGTCAAATGGGCAACTACTGCAAAAGTCATATGTGAATTAGCCTTGACACTCTTCTTCCCTATGGGTTGTGTTCAACTAAGTCCTACTCTGAGTAGACCCACTGAAATTAATGAATGCCATCCACTGTTTTTAAATTTTAAAGACATATACACTTTACTGATGAATGGGCTGGTAATGAAGTGTGCTGCTTACATGCAAGCCTGCAATATGAGGGAGCTTTTGACATTGAGATTTGGACATATCCCCATGTTTGGCACCCCAAGAGGGACCAGAGAGATAAATCAGAGAGATAAATCAGAATTATTTTTTTTATAATATTTGAGACTAGCTTACTGTCTCAAAAGGAAATTAGCACGTTTACTGAAAAGTATTAAAATCTATAAACAGCACACTAACACCAGTTTGAGCTTAGGAACGCTAAAACCAGTACACAAATTGTTCTTAGAAGCATTCCCAGGAACCAACAGGAAAACTAGGATGTGAAATAGAGAGGCTTTGGGTTAATTGGGTAAGGACACTGGGTTGAAGAGTGAAAGTGGTATCACAGTGCAAAAATGAATGAAGTTGCTTGTTTGCAGAAGGAAAAGGGGAGGTTATCAGGGAAGTTTGGCTAGTGAGGTTTTGGGAATGTTTTTAGGTGAAAATCAGAAGAAATTAGACTTTGAGGAAATGGCTGCTTTCATCTTCAATCCCTTTTCTCCTACACCCACTTTTTTGCAACCCTCTTTGTACCCCCATTTCCCCCTTCACTCCCTTTTTAACCCCACCCTGAAGGGTTAAACAAAAGCAGAAGTTCTGGTGGAGAGTAAATTATGTATGGATTCTGGAACACATGACAAGGAAATACTGATAACCAGATTTACTGTGATCACTGGTATAGAAAGATCATGCACTTATTAGGTCCATATGCTCAGGGTCTAAGATTGTTCTTAAAGTCACTGGACCTTAGTTAACAGAGTTCTTATAGTAGGTTAGACACCTATTTTTTAATGTTAAGCGTGTTCTGACAAATGCCACTGCACATTTATTAATGTAGAACAAGCAAGAAAGGTCAGCTAAAATGACCTGTGGAAAAAAGCTAGTTAGGAGCCTAACACCGCCACATCCAACTCAAGCACACATTTGGAGTTGTGGCACTGGGCAAAGAAAGTTCCATGTATGCCTGCCTCAATACATGAAAGTGCATCTTCCTGGACTGTTTGCTCCATTTCAGGAGCCCAAGAGACTACACTCAAAGGGAGTCTTGTGTTCTTCAGGTTAGATCAGGTACCCTCCAGGTGTTGTTGGATTCAGACTCCCATTTGCCCCAACCAGCATGGCAAATGGTCAGGCATCATGGGAGCTGTGGTCCAGGTACATCTGGAGGGTACCATGTTGTCTACACCTGGACTACACATAGATCAAAAGCAACTAAGGCCTGCTTCACTAAGAGGCTACAGTGGCCTTATTAATTCTTTCTTCATGCACGGCTTCTACATGTGGACAAGTGGGCAGTGGATGTCTACCGCTGGCCCTGCTCCTGACCCTGAATACTGCACTGGTCATGCCACATTTGGTTGCAGTGCTCTCTGCAGGAAGGGAGGGGAAATTTAATAAAATAGACAAGTCTACATATGAACAGCTGCTCCTACGCTGCTTTCCCAGCCACGCAACCAGTACCATCAGGGGCGTGGCCAGAAGCATAGTTCCACTGCAGAAGCTACACATGGAGAACAACTGTGTGTGCATATTGTGTATTTCACCACCCCTGAAACCACTGCATATGAATGCATTTTCCTTCTCTCCCTTGGGAAGTTATGGCCCAACATACTCTTCCCTGCATATGAATGCGGGTAGATTCTGTAAATATACACTACTTGTACATGAAGTGTATGCTCAACCTAGAAACAAGTTAAGTAATATGGCCAAGTCGATATTCTGGTCAAATTTGATTTAAGCAAACAGTGACTTGCTCTGCACATGTAATGCGAACAAGTCATTATGAAATGGTATGTAAACATCACTACTCATTGGGGAAATAAGGTACCAAAGTCTTTCTTGGACTCTTACAACTCCTGGCTAGAAGACAGGGGTTGCAGTTTTGATTGCTGTCATGTAAAAAGTCCCTGCATGTAGAAAGCTAGTATATGAGGGAGAAATATTTTTACCTAGTCCTCTTTCTTTTGTTCTACTTGCCTATGTGCAGAGTATGTGTATTCATCTATCTAGTGAAAGAGCATTCATAATGCATGAGGCAAAGTCCTTGTAAGCCTCTAGTCACATTATTTTGGTGAACTAAAAGCAAGAACTTTCACATATAGTATAAGGCAGGAGGGAAATTATTATTGGATGTTGTGCAGGAAATTCCCAAGTGTTTACTATCAGCATTTGAAACAAATCTGAAAGTGTGTCAAGAAGAATCTAGTATTATAGCTGGGGGGGGAATACTGTACCTTCTTCCACAGAAATTGGGTTCTCCAAAAAAAATGCTGTTTGCTTCCAGTGTGTTTTGGTACAGCAGGGACTAGTTGAGAACAATACCTGCAGTGACAGAGTTCAAAAATCTGTGATGACATACAAGACTTAATATCATGCTACATTAATCTAGCACACACACATTAAATGCTTGCAACAGCAAAACAGACTTATTTCAAAACACCTTAAGGCAAAAAGCTGACAAAATATATATCTTTAAATTAATTTTGAACATGTACTCACTGCTTTACTGCAATTCTTCTCAAAACATATATCAAAATATCCAGCAACTGCCTGCAATTTAGAAATAAACGAACGTCAGCAATCTTCACATTCATTATCCTTGAAGTGTTTCTTGATATCATCAATATAATTGCTGGAAATAATATATTGAGTAATACCAAGTTCTTGCTTGGGCAGGGGCATTCAAAACAAACTGAAAACTCAACCACCTTGATGTCATTCCCGCAAATACAACGGCTCCTTAACATGTTGTTTAAGGCCAGGAAGTATGAAGGGTTAAAGCTGTGGCCTTTATTCAGTTAAGGTTTGTCCTTCCATTTTCATTACTGTAATAGAAGCAATATTGTTGTGTTTCCAGGGTATGGAGAATGGGGAGCTACTGCAAATACACTGCTCAGAATCAAAGTAGAAATGCCAACCAACAAACTGTCCAAAAATGCATTCATTTGTCTGGTTACTTTAAGAGAGCCCTTGCCTCTGCTGCATCAAACTGTGTTGCAGAAAATGCATCAGATCATCAGAAGGAAGTAAGAAGAGCTTCTGGATAAGGTCAGGCCAAAGGCCCTTCTAGTCCAACAACCAGATGCCCATGGCAGAACCCTGAGTGCAACAGAGATCTCCTCACTTGTGATCCCAGCAACTGGCTTTCAGAGGCATACTGCCTTCAACAGTGGAAGTGGAACACAGCCATCAGGGTTAGTAGTCACTGATGGCCTTATCTTCCATGAATTGGTCTAATCCTCTTCTAAAGGCCTCACTACCTCTTGTGACAGCACACTCCCTAGTTTTTGCTACATGCCTAAACCACAAGAGGGAAATGCTACATACAAGTCCATTTAAGACCATCTTCCAGTTGCAAGAACAATGGAAAGCAGCCTACATATTGCTAAACACCACAAAGCCTAATTATGCTCTCAATCCCACCCCAGCCAATAAGCATGGATTCAAATAGATACAAACTCTAAAATGTTCCCTCAAGTAACCATGGCTAGTGAGCACCACATGGTTCCTTTCCCCACTGTCTGCTGCTGACTGATGCAACTTTCAAACAGAAATCTGCATCTGCATGTGGGCAGCATTCTCTGTACAAGAACATGGATGAAAGGCTGCTCATGAAGGACATCTGTCAAACACCCCACTGCCACCAAGAATGAAGCATCGTTCACAAGTTTTCCTCAATAACTGGAAAGTTTTAAATTGCAATTGGTATTGATAAGCACCAAACGGTGACAAGGTCCTTCAAGAATACACCAATAAGTGAATACAACAATCTGGAATGGTTCTAGTGTTCAGTCATGTTCTAGCACTACCCAGTCCAAAGCACTAAAATGATGCACCTATTTCAGAGCACAAGGGGACTCCTACTTCATAGGACTTTAGCCAGTACTTTACCTTACCTAACAGAACGCGAAATCCTGATGAAGCAACTGCAGTGCTTCTATATTCCACAGGCCGGATCCACAGTGTGTCCCTCCCATGAAGTGAAAGAGGCCCAGATTCAGCAGAGCCTCCCACTGGAGAAAGGGTAGGGAGACAATTTCCCCCTGTTTTCCCCTTCCCTTTCCATCCCCCTACCCCACCCATCTCATGGCCCTGGAGGGTTCCTCAGCCTTGCACTGCAGTTTTTCAGAGGGCTGCAGATTCCTCCCTTTTCTCCATCCAGCAGGGGCATTGTGTGAGTGGAGAAATACTGAATAAGCAAGTTATGCTTTTTTAACTATTTGGCTTTCTTTCCTCATCACCCTAGGCAATGGAACAAATGCATTCCCCTCCTTTGCATTATTAGCACAGTGCTCTCTACTGTCATACAGGAAGTGGGAAACTGCCTTATATCACGTCATGCAACAAATCTTTCCCTCTCCCCACCACCCCTAAAAAGCCTCTCCAGAGAGTCACCCTACATTGTGGGCTGTGTTCCACAGGGCTGCAGGGGGCAAGGGAATTCCCCCAAATCTGGCACAGAGGTCTTGCACTTTGCACATCACCATCCACAATGTCTGTTAGGTCTTCCCAAGTCTCTGGAAAGGCTGGGAGGGGACTCTAGGGGAAAATATACATTGTGCAAGCTGTCTTCTGTTCATGAAACACTGCATACACTCCTGTGTTTTAATTTTCCTACCACAAGTGGGCAATTTTAAAACACATTGAGAGTTATTCAACTATATTTTACTTAGAGTAGACGCACTGAAATTAATGAACATGACTAAGTTAGGCCCATTAATTTCAACAGGTCTACTCTGAGTAAAACTTGGTTGAATGTCTGCTATTCATGTTTCCCCTTTCTGTGCAAATTGCTGGATTCTAGGATATTTTATATTCTGTTTCTTTCCCGGTTGTGGAACTGTCTGATATATGTCAAAGCCACAGTCGGAGACCCAAATATCTTTGGGGGTTTTTTTATTAAAGGGGAAGGCTAGCTTGAACAACTAATGTTACACCATTCCTCCCACTTTAGTTTTCTGTTTTCCTTCTTAAAAGTTGCATTTATCTTTTATCTCTTAATATTACAGACTGGCTGTCGAACGAAAGACCAGTGTACTTCCCCACAGTTCATCTTCCGCAGAACCATTAACTGAGACTTGCTATATACATTTGAGAGATTAGATAGCTTCGTAATTTAGCAGAGCAATCATTTTTATTTATTTGACCTTTTATCCAACATTATACGAACAGCTTTGAGACAAGATAAAAATATATTTTTTAAGTTAAAGCAGAAAGGTCAGTGTAGAAAATAGAATATAAAGATAAAAACTGCAATAAAACTGAAAATGGTGTTGACTCTTAGAAACAGTTACTTCAGGTATTATTTTGTTTTACATGCAAGTGACTTATGCTTGCTTTTACCTCCTTCCCCACCACAGCACTTCGTCTGACAACAGATATATAGGCCCCCAGAGAAATAATCACAATAGACTCCAGCATCTCCACTAGAGTCATTCAAACACTATTCTCTGAACAGTAACCAGTAGGAAATTGAAAGCAAACACAATGGGATTGACCGTATATAACTGAAGATCTGGCCTATTGAGCACTGCGAAAGGATGCTTTTTGTTAAAGATACACCGCAGTAGAGTAATTATTCTGCCTTCTGTTCTCAACATCCCATCAACAGACAGAACTACTCTGCATGTTGAGGGGAAGGCAGTTGTTTTGAAAAGTAGGCAAGCAAAAAAGAGCAAAGAGGTTAATGAGATGTAGAAATTCACCAAAAACAAAAAACAAAAAACCTCACACCAAATTTCTCCTGCTCCTAAACCAAGTCAGCTATGCAGAGGGGAAAAGGAGGAGCACCAGAGCTGCAAATGTGATCATTAAGCCTGTATGCAGACCTGTGAAATCAATTCACAGACCAAGCTGACATTGAAATATAAGCCAGGCTAGTTTGCCTTAATGTAGAAATTCTCCCAAATATATTACTGGGAACATGTAAATAATCAGACATCAGTAGCCATAATGTAACCAATCTGGGAACTGCAAGTACAAGGTGTCTCTCTCTCTGTGTGTGCATGATTTCTCACACAAATCAAATATATTGCAGCTCTGTGCCTTAATTATTTGTTCTGTTGCCACAGCGGGGCACAATTTTATTCACCGAAACCACAAAATAAGCAGTCTCTCTCTCTCTCTAAAAAAACCCAACCAGTGTCTGTTGAAGATGGTCAAACACCCACAGTTTACTCATTCGTTATCCTGTATTTCAGGCTCATTTTTATTTTTTTAAGAACAAAGCAAAGCGCAGATTTGAGCAACTCTCAAATCTGCTTCTTCATTTACCTGCGCCGCTTCTCTAGGAAAACACTTCTGTTCCCAATTGTAAATCCCTGTCTGATTTATACAAACCCCTGTGAAACCAGTTAAAAGCAATTTGACCAATTCACTTAGGAGAGAGGAAATTAAAAGTTACCATCATCGCTATCAGCTGCAGGGAGTAATTTATCATTTTTGTTCCTCGTCAGTATCGTGTTCCAACAGCATGCAGCTAGAGCAGATACAATTAGGCAGCTGGCCACAGAAGTAGGAGGATAATGTGCTTTTGATGGAGTTTATCCAAGCATGGAGATGAAATGCTTGTAAGCCATGCAGCAGAGAGGGAGAGGGAGACAGACAATCACTATGTTCTTGGTGCAGAAATACCACTTTTGTTTTTAAAATGATATTTCTTAAATGAAAACAACTCAGTACCTCAAGATTACTGAATGATTCTTACTCTTCAAAGGGGAGGGGGGTACTGAAGAAAATTTACTTCGTTTATTGTACCCTGTACAAAGCCTCATTCAATCTCAAAAGTAGAATAACTGAGCATATTAGGTATTATTCAAGTAGTCTTTGTACCATACTATTCAAAGTTTGATACTGTCTGAAAATTAAATCATCTTCAGCCTTGTATAACTGCTTCTCATATGGAAAAGCGTTAGATTTTATTCCTTGATGAAAACAGTTCCTCTTTCATTCATCACTTCCAAGTTGGGGTCTGCAGAGATCATGGAGGGGAAATAAATGGCGGAGAAATTCTCTCCACCCTTGTAGAGTAGTGAATTGCTGAACTTTGCAGCCAGATAACTAGATTCCTGCTCACCTAGCTCTAAATCTCAGCAGTCTATTGCTATAACCTAATTGACCTATAGTGGTGTTACCTGAGATTTGGGTCTATTAGTAGCTGCCTGGCTCGCACAATTTCAACAATACAGATTGAGGTAGGAGGGTATTTTCCCTCCCACTGGAGAGTATATGAGAGTTTCGGTGCAAAATGGGCCAGCATAAGTATGTGCCATGCACCCCTGACGTCAACACTCCACCCCCAGGATAACGTTAAGTTGTCGGGGTGAACAAGGTCAATATATGCTTAATCCTGTTTTCTTCAAACCACCACCACCGTTTCCCTCTAGCTAACACAACAACATTTAATGCATCCAAGACAGCAATGAGCATGGCAGTCCTTAGCTTTTAAAATTACAAGCAAATAAGTTCCTGCATATCTGTGGAGTTATCCAATCTACCACCTCCTCTGTGGGTGAGCCAGAAGTTATGTGTGGAACAACCCGAGTTTGAATCAGAAGAGAAAGCAGGGTTAAAATTTGCATTGCCTATCCTTACTACTCCCAACCCTGAAACGGGCCAATCATGTGGCAGAACTCTCAGCAGTCTTTAAAGCAGTGTTTCCCAACCTTGGGCCTCCAGCTGTTTTTGGACTACAACTCCCATCATCCCTAGCTAGCAAGACCAGTGGTCAGGGATGATGGGAATTGTAGTTCAAAAACAGCTGGAGGCCCAAGGTTGGGAAACACTGCTTTAAAGGGCCCTCAAAGGCAGATTCCATGCTTTTAGGGTGAACCCTACATGTTCACTCAGAAGTAAGTCTCATCATATTCAACAGGGCTTACTGCCAGGTAAGTGGGTGGAGGACTGAAGCCTTAGCCATATAGCAAAACTTAATAAGTAACATTTTAGATTACCGCTAACACCACCAAGAACCTATCAACAGCAATTGATACTGAACTTATTAACTGATATTAACTAAAAGCTTCTCACAAATAAGGATTGGGGAATGGCACAGAGGATCAGGCCCGCAATAATGGCGGCCTAGAGCTCCATTGCACATGGCAGGTGTTTGGGTCATGAGAAAGCAGGGGGTAGAGGAGAATAGGCAGATTTATGAAGAGGGAGGGAGTGTTAAAATGTTAATAGCTGCCTGTTCCAAGATGGGTAGGAATTTCACAGTGACCTGCAAACCTGGGTCAGTGACTGTATATTAAAGTTCTAAGAGTGGCTGAACATGAATCTCTAGATATATGCCAAAGTCTACTTTCCAATGTTGTAGACTGTGCCTGACCCATAAATATCCCGATGTAAAGCTAAGGAATTTATAGTTGTAACATGGATTGATTGGAACTCTCCCCAAATGGTTCTAAAAATAGAAATATTGCCTTGAAGAACAACGCTCAACTTCCTCTTCCCTTAAGTTTCTGGACTAAATCAAATAGAAAACACACATTGTGTGTCAGTAACTAGACACAGTATTCCAAGTGTGGACTGAGCAAGGCATAATAAAAAGGTAAAGGTACCCCTGCCCGTACGGGCCAGTCTTGCCAGACTCTAGGGTTGTGCGCCCATCTCACTCAAGAGGCCGGGGGCCAGCGCTGTCCGGAGACACTTCCGGATCATGTGGCCAGCGTACATCGCTGCTCTGGCGAGCCAGAGCCGCACACGGAAACGCCGTTACCTTCCCGCTAGTAAGCGGTCCCTATTTATCTACTTGCACCCGGGGGTGCTTTCGAACTGCTTTTACCCACAGCGCCACCCGCGTCCCCTGCAAGGCATAATAGAGTGGAACTATTACTTCGCTTGATCTGGACACTATACTTCTGTTGATGTAGTTTGACTCTGAACTGAGACTCTAACCCATCTTTCTTCAAAGGGGAAAAACAGCCACATTAGTTTTAAGACCAAAAATGTTATGACATTAAACCTTTATTCTTGTATTTTAACCCAAACTAAAATTCTACATACAGAAAATCAAGGGTGAATATTTGTCCAGCTGAAGAAATACACTTTTAAAGCATCTTCAAAATCTCCAAAACATATAATGGATTTATTGTTCATTTACTGCAAGGTTAGGCAGCCTGATGTGATGGGATGGACTGTCAGCCTCTAACTAAACTGCTATACTCCATCACAAAAGGAGTGGAAATTCTGGTCATAAGATGTCAATAATCTTACATGATGAAGTACGCAATACTTGACAAAGTGTTTTGTTTTTTTGCGCAACACCACAAATCTCTGATCCAAAACTAGAAACTTCCAAACCAAACATTTCACCTGTATCACTATATTTTTAAGGCTGGAGAACGCAAGTGTATATAAAAAGCAACAAATACATGCTTTGGTTCGAAAATGAAGTTACAACCCATACCCCAAACCCACACAAATGAACAGGAAGATACAAGCAATGATATATGTGAAGGCAATATGCAGAAACCGCTTTACTGGAAAAGTGGGTGTAAAAGCTACAGTTCATAGTGAGAAAGGGAGAAACTCCATATGAAAGGGGTCACAAAGAGTTCAGAAGGTGGGTGGAGGATAAATTGTTAAAAGGAGATAGCAAATAAGCTTGTGACAAGTGGAAAGGAAGGAATGGTGAAACAAGCTTACGCAGGAAAAAGAGTAAAAAAGTATTAGAATGTAAAAAAAATAAGGAAGATGAAAGAGAAACAGGGACAACCCAAGACACTTTGGTACCTGAGGCGACCACAAATTGGTGCCCCTCTTCTGCCAGCGCAGAAGGGCTGAGTGAAGATCTACATCAGGAATAAAGGGGAATAACGTTCTACATGGCTGGCCCCGAAGAGAGAGGACTTAAGAGGAATGGCATAACTGCTGGTGTAAGGAACACATTATACAGCTTGACAAGATTGTAACACACCAAAGGCTACCAGGTAATGCCAACATTTAATCCCGTAGCCATGGTCCATAGCTAGCTAGTTTGCAAATGAAGGCTTTGACCGAAGGTTTCAAAAGCACGGCAATCAAAACCCCAGAAATGCTGAAATAAAATATTTACCGTACACACTGAAGTCTTTGTTACTCTCAGAGTGAAGTCTGATGAAAAATTCAGTTCTGAAACCGATGCAACATGGCAATCTATCCGCTGCAAGAAAGTGCAAAGTCTTGTGTGAGAACAAAGCTGGATCCTGGTATCTGAGTGGAATCTATGGAGACTGTTTTAATCATCTCTGCATAATAGACCTGAAATAAAGCTTATTCTCAAAAGCAACCTACATGGAAACTAGTTGCCTACCAGGTGTATATGGCAAAAAACTGGAAAGTTTAGCCTCTAAGTGCAAGCTCAGGACTCCCACTGGCTTTATAACTGCAGTCTTCTAAAAGCACATGATAAATGAAACTCTTAAGGTTCAAAAGTTGCTTGCAATGCTGTTTGCAGAAGATGAACTGGGGGTAGGACTCTGAAGTCTCACTAGGATGCAGTTAGACTCTATGTTCTTCAGCCTACGACCAGAAAGTTAAAATTGTCAGGATGCTTTCTTTTACAGATATGTTTCTCATAGGGATAATGCTTCCATTCAGAAAAAAATGGGCTTATATGTGAAGCGGCAGAAAAATGAGCTCTCTATGTCAAGTACATACAAGTTCCTAGATAAAACTGATATTTATTGAAGATATATCACATGTAAAGCAATTCTAAGCTGAAGGTGGATTAGCATATTTCATGGCTTGATGAGTCTTATATATGGCATCATCAGAGTCCTAATAATAGGGCACATGAAAATCAAATCAAGGTGAGGCACAATCCTCAGATTTACTACAGCAGTCTAGCTTTAATCCCTACAAATTCCCACATAGTGTTTTCACACATATTTGTTGGCTAGGTAAAGGTAAAGGGACGCTTGACTATTAGGTCCAGTTGTGGCCGACTCTGGGGTTGTGGTGCTCATCTCACTTTATTGGCCGAGGGAGCCGCTGTACAGCTTCTGGGTCATGTGGCCAGCATGACTAAGCCACTTCTGGCAAACCAGAGCAGCGAACGGAAATGCCATTTACCTTCCCACCAGAGCGGTACCTATTTATCTACTTGCACTTTGATGTGCTTTTGAACTGCTAGGTTGACAGGAGCAGGGACCGAGCAACGGCAGCTCACCCCATCGCGGGGATTTGAACCCCCGACCTTCTGATTGGCAAGTCCTAGGCTCTGTGGTTTAACCCACAGCGCCACCCACGTCCCCTATTTGTTGGATACCTATCCTTTTATTTGTATACCTGTTTTACTTGAAAAAGACTCGTGAACAGCAACTGGGCTCCCAGCAGGACTCACAAGTCCTTTTATGACTGGACATCTCTCTCTCTCTCTCTCTCTCTCTCACACACACACACACACACACACACACCCCTTCTTTTGTTAAAAATCAAAATTGGTACATTTGTCTGCAATTTCTTTAACCCTTCTTGGCCAACTGAATAATATGCAAATATAATGTATGTTCCATATCCTGGATAATGGTAGGGATATGAAAGGCAACTCCATCATTTTACTGACCTTGGAAATGGCAAACAAAGGAATACTGCAGACCTATGGTGTCATAATCATGTCAGCCAATGAGGGACATTTAAACACCTTCTGTTGCTCAGCCATTCTTGTTTGTCCACCATCAGGAGTGGTGAAATCCAGTGGCTACAAAGCTGAGAGCATTCTCCGTGGCAGCCCCACGGCTATGGAATTCATTGCCAACTGGACTGTCAGGTCACAACACTACAGAGTTCTTGGAAATGTCTGAAGGCTTGCATATTTTTTAAAAGAAAGGCTCATATATGGGCTTGTTTCCTACTATTGACTACCTTAGTAATTTTGGGCTAGCTGTATGTTTTATCAGTTGCTGGTTCACACTATTACATCTATGCCTATTTTGCATGATTTTCTGTGTTACTATGGAACATTTAATACATTACTGCTATATGTTCGCTCAACTTTATATTATTTTTGATGCCTTATGAGAAATTCTTGAAACTGGGATGTGATTTTTCTAAACAAAGAGGTTACTGAATAGGACTATTAGTAACTGCTCGTCTTACAGAAAAGAAATCCCTTTAAAATACACAAAGTCAAAATCTGACACAGAAGCTGTCAGATTTTCATGAGGCTGAGTGGAGTATGACAAAACCATTACTCAGGGTAATAAATGCCAGATTCAGAGGTGAAACATATACATTCTTAGTCATCATATGATTAACTAGGTACATTTTTATAATTTCCTCAATATCTGAAAATCATCAGCTTTATGGAACAATTATTGATTTTGGTTGTTTACTCAGGATGACATTCTTGGTGAATTCATTAATTTTACTACATGTTATACAGAAAAATGGATAGTCAACATTTAAAGACTTATTTGGAAGTTTTATCTATCAATTCCACTCAAACAATTATTTTCCAGCCTGCAATGTAAAAGTAGGTTGTTAAGCAACAACAGCATCTCAAAGTAGTCATAACCAAAACAGGCTTGTCACTCTTTTAAATCTGTTAAAGATGCACAGGGAGCCTGAACTACAGGATCCCTATTTTTCTCCAGGAACAAATCTAAGGCAATGAGGGCTACTATACAGTGGTACCTTGGTTCTCAAACACCTTGGTACTCAAACAACTTGGAACCCAAACACTGCAAACCCGGAAGTAAGTGTTCCAGTTTGCGAACCTTTTTCAGAAGCTGAATGTGCTCTGTTTTGAGTACCACACTTCTGTTTTGAGTATTACGCTGAGGTATTGAGTATTACGTTTTGAGTATTACGCTGTCTGTTTTTCCTATTTATTTTGCATTTTTGTTTTTGCAGCTTTTTTGTTTCGTTTTTGTGACTGTGTGGAACCCAGTTCAGCTACTGATTGATTGATTGTGTGACTGCAGTACATTGTTTACTGCTTTCATTTTATGGATCAATTGTGTCGTTAGATAGCAAAATTCATGTTAAATTGCTGTTTTAGGGGTTGTTTTTAAAAGTCTGGAACGGATTAATCCATTTTGCATTACTTTCTGTGGGAAAGTGCACCTTGGTTTTGGAACGGACTTCCAGAATGGATTAAGTTTGAGAACCAAGGTACCACTGTACAACATTTAGAGGGAGGTGTTACAAATTAAAATTGTGGTTGAATAATTTTGTGTAATAAATATTCTCTCTTTTTAAGAGGAATGTAGCCTATTGTGCTCTAGATGGGAGGGCGAAACTTGAGGCCGTTAGTCTAGGGTTGTGCATTATCAGAGAATTGAATGCATTCAATTTCACACAGCAACAATGCTGTTCTTATGAAAATATAAGATAGCCTTTTCAGATAATAGTTAGAAAGGGGAGGGGATTAGAAAGGAACTTTCCCCAATTGCTTCATTTAAGCACACCTAAGTGGTACATGCAGCAATGTTTGTGTGATTTTCTCTAATATTTATCTACAGAGGTGCTACAATATATGTTTACATGGAAAGCAATATACTTCTTAACCAATCATCTCGTTTCTTCTACCATTAATGGTGTAGTGTACTTGTTAGTGTTGCACTAGGACCTGAAGACCAGGGTTCAGATCAGTCAGTCATTGCCTCTAAGCCCAGTCCAACTCTCAGGGTATTGTGAGGAAAAATTATGTATGTCACTCTGAAGTCCTTTGAGGAAAGGTGTAATAAATGAAATGAAAATACTCTTTAGCACTCAGACTTCGTTCATAACACTGAATATGCAAATATTCAAGGATTTTAGCAAACAATGTAACTAATAATTATAGCATAATTAATTACAATATAATTAATGGAGCTCCAAAGCCTATAATTAAGCATACCAGAGACAGAGCATAACCAGGTGGAGAAAATAAAAGATGGGGAGACAAACAGAAATTGGAGTTAAGTTTTAAAGACAGCCTCTTGAGACATTTAACAGGTTCCAGATGGAACCAACAGAGAACTGCACATCACTTTTGACGTATAGATGTTGAATGAACAATGGGCAGGGAGCCATTACACCTCCTTATTTTATTTCTGTCTTTATTAGTTCTGTGGTGGGAAAAAAGAGAGAAAAACTACTACGAGAAGGCTGCAAAACCCATAAAGATGTGCACAAATTCCAAAATATTAGTATCACGGACTCCATATTTTATTAACACTGAACGGCCAGGGGGAAAGAAAACATATTCTATGTAAGAACAGCTTACATACTGCCCTGGGTTAATAATTATACATTCCTTTCTAGAAATTTAGATTATTTGTTACAGTACCTTGATGACACAAGCTTCAGATATAAGCGTGCCTGAATCTAACACTTCCACAACAGCTTCTGGAATGACAGCCTTCTTCATGCAGGACATGTTGAAGCCATACACATCATCCCAGAAAGCTAATCTGTCTGCATGCTTCTTGAGGTCACTGACAGCCACCAGGCTGATGGTGCAGATGTCAGGATACACTGCAAAGAGACGTTGCAAATAATTTATTGACAACAAACAATGGTACAAGCTCCCTTTTATATTAGATTTGACTTTAATTTGAAATATACGAGGAAATTTACCACAAGCAAAAACAGACAAATCTACTGTTTTGAGGAAAAACCTATTTTTAAAAAATCCATTTCATGGGATTCATTGTTGTTGTCTTGGTAGAAACAAAGGCATGGCAACAACTGGGGGAAGTGGTGATAAGCAGAACCTGAGACAGATCAATGGCTCTGCATACATGACAGCTGTCACACAAATGGGCACATGGAGTATACAGTGACTGCTGTTTCAGTCAATATTGCTGATTTTATATATATATATATATATTTTTAGATCTTCCCTTGCTATATATTATGCTTGTTCCTGGACTATCAGCAGTAGCTCTGTGCTACAGTAGACAAAGCACTGTTAAGTCAAGAATCTCTTTCCAAAATGACAGTGCTGTATTTGGTAAGCAGGGGAACACAGGAAAACTCGCTAAGTAGCACCAGAAATGTGCTACCACATTAGCAGAGGAAGGTAATGGAGTGATGCATTTTATCTGATTTATATTGTAAGCTTCCTAGCAATGAAAAATGCCTATATCATCCAAAATGCAGGACAATGTCTAACAAATATACCACCCTTTTATAACATTCATATTTTAGATAACATAATGACCAAACAAATGAGGCCTATCAGATGATGTGCTGCTTTGTATGTGTAAAAACCCGAACTAGGATGAGTTTACTTCTGTTGTTCTTTGTATATCCAGCTTTTAAAGAGACATGAAACTGAAGGCTAGTTACAAAAATTAAAATGCAACAGGCAAGTGGAGTGGACCAAAAGGTATGCAAGCACCAATTAAACATATGCGCCAGAATTTCTTTGTGTTTCTTGTTCAGCAGCTACACTAAACAATTTTATTCAGATGCAAGGCTAGTTAAATAGCAGTTGTTCAAAAGTAAAGCAACCAAACTCTGCCCCAATACATGCCCACTGCGGCCAACGCGTCCCTGGGTCACAAAACCAAACAGAGCGTTAAGGGTACAAATCAGACCACCATAAGCATGCTCAGAAGCTGTGATCTGGCCTGTGCCCTTAATGCTCCTGACCAAGAAGCACATTAGCCACAGAAAACTTACATCAGCACTTCTTGTTTTGAATTGTGCAGCTTATTAAATTAAATCCAAGAAGCACTCTTTTAAAGTAAGTACTTTGCAAGCATAAAGTGAAGAAAAACATAACACTATGAAATTAACATCCAATAGAAACGGTAGATGTTTTCCATTTATTTATGTGAGCTGAGGCAGTTCTATTAGCACAACATGGGAGATATCTCACCTTTTCCCAATTCCCACCCTTTTAAGTGCAGCCCAGTATGCCCCATTTCGTAAGAGGTTGGTGATCCTGCTTTAACACTACCACTAGGTCCACCCATTCATCAACTCATGTCTTGCTTGACAGCCAACTTTCAGAATTCAGTTCAGCAGAAGGCATGGAGCTTTCTTTGCTTGTGGCTTATGGCATTCAGGCCATTATTTAGATGCTCATTATGGTTTTACAATGCTTCCATGAAAAGCTTCCTTTTTAAAAAATTGTCTTTAGCAGAAAAGTTCCAGCCCAAGAAGTATTAAAATTATTATTTACCTTACCCATCTAAAATCACAATAGGAAAGGGAGCCAACATATTTTGAATAATCCACTTCGGTGATGGGTCATTTTGATTTCTTTAAACCCCATGCTACTTACAAAAGTAAAACCACTCCTATGCAAGAACCTTTTATTTCATACATATTCCATTACTTAGTTTTTAATCTGATTGAATTATTTCTCACCACACGTAATATTAAACTGCTGATCAGACATCTCTTAGAGAAGCGCACTTTAGAAATTCATAGGTTTGTCATCTGTGTCCTTCTCGACTCACTGCCCCCAAATCATTTGTCATTAGTAACAGCTCACACGGGGAGCAAAGCAAGATGGGAAATCTTTTATCCCTCAGCAATGCCTCACAAATGTAAGGACATTAAAAGGGTAAGATCGTAGTAACTGCAGGGCTAGAGGCATAGTTGTAAATGATTATCATTTGAAGGTGGAAAAGCAAATATAACCAATCACCTTTCTCATATAATACTTTTAGCTCCAGCCCGGAAGCCCCCTATTTTAGGGATCAGGCTTTTGGAAAGCTTGAGGTAGAAGATGACACAGCAACCAACCATTAGCCCACACTGTGACAACAAAGTTAAGTCAAATGAAACTATGGCTGGAATAAATGATTAGCACTTGGCTAAGTTAAAGCGGTAACGAAAAGATGATCACAGAAACACGGGTGGGAAGTATTGATACTTTTCCTTCTTTGTTCTGTGGCCTTAATAAAGTTGCACACTTCTGCTGTACCTTCCAAGCATAAATGAAACCTAAATATTCTTCAGCCGGCACAGCTTATACACGAAGGTTGCAGTATCTATTTTACCTCAAAGGTGCAATGTAAACTTTTAACTTATCTGGAATATATGAAACACTATGGTGAAAGGTACTGTGAACAACTGTTTTAAACTAGTTGGCAAAATAGCTCACGAGCTACAACTGCCCAAAGGAGGAAGTGTCCTATTTAAAATTCTGCTAAATGAGCTGTACAGTTAAGCTAGTGGCATTGTATTGAACAAGGAAAGTTGATAAATGCATGTATATCTGACAGTTAATTTTGAGTATCATGTTCCCCAACCCCAACATATTCTGTTTTGGCAGAAATTCACCATTTTGGCCACATTTACCATTTGAAAAGTTTCTAGGCATTTCTTCCTTTCTTTTCAGTTTGAAGGCAGCCTATGCTTATGTCTTGGAAAACAGAAATGAGATACAGAAATTAAAGGGCAATGAAGAAAAACTTTTTTTAAAAAGTGATACACCTTTTTGTGTTTTACTTGCTTTTAGTTTTTATTATATTTTGTACATGCCCTAGATATATGGAAGGCCATTAATAACAATAACAAAAATAAAAAGAAGCCATGCCAGTACCACTCCCATTAATCAGGTTACACACACACACACACACACACACACATACACTGTTGTTGTGTCAAATCCCATGGATTATAATAACCTGCACTAGACTATATCAAAGCATATTCCTTATAAATCTCCATCTTTCCTTCCATCAGGCAAGGAGGTTACTGGACCTCTAGCCTAACTCTTGAAAAAGTTCCACCCTAAAATTAATGTAGCATATTTTTATCTCAATGGTGTCTGACAGAATTATCGGTCTGTTGCTACACATGATGCAAAAGTAAATTGCATCTACTGTGGACGTTCTGCTGTTTCAACCCCACCTGCTGGCTGATTTATAGAGGAACAAATGAAACCATCTATAAAGCCTCCATTAACCTTCTAAACTAGTTGGCATTAGAGCATCAGATACAAGTGCCTGAAGGTGTAAGAGCTCTGTTTAAAATACTGCTAAATGAACTGGACTATCAGGCTAGAGAACTATTAATGTATTTTACTGGGAGTGAGAAAGGAATATTAATATTAAGCGCTTAACATCTATTTTCACTCATCAATCTTTTCTGTCCCCAAAGTGAAGAACTGTTTTCTTTCTAAAATAATTTTTATTACATTTTCAGATTATGCATTTCAAAATGAACATCTTTCATTATAACCATACATTCAATGACTTCCCTCCCTCTCCTTCCAAGGTTCTTTTAATTTACCCACCGTTCCTGCATATATTGTATATCCATCTAATTAAGTTCTCCAATCTTATATCCCACTGCAATATATTATACTGTTGAATTTACTGTAATACTGTGAACGTTTTCAACTGTGTACTTATTTTCTACATACTCAGCAAAAAATTCCACTCCTCTTTAAATATCTGTTCTTCTTGCTCCCTTATTTCACTTGTTAGACTTGATAACTGCATATTCTAACATCTAAAGTTGCCAGTCTTTCTTACTATGAACCTCCCTCACCTTCCATTTTGGCACTAAAAGGATCTGAGCCGCCATTGCTGCATATATAACTAAGTTTTTCTGAGACCTGGGCACCTCTGTCTGCACCATTCCTAACAAGAATGCCTCTGGTTTTGGGGGAAACCTTGTTTTAAACATTTTCCCTGATCTCATTATATATCATTTCCCAATATTCTTATTTTGCATGCCCACTACATATGAAAAAGAGTTCCTTCTATTTCTTTACATTTCCAAATCTGATTCCAATTTATACATATTAGCTAGTCTACTTGTGGTTGGATACCATCTATGAATCATTTTCTTGTAGTTCTCTTTCAACATATAGCATGCTGTGAATTTCAACTCTTTCTGCCAAAGATTCTCCCAGAGGTTTAGTTCTATATTATACCCTATATCAATTGCCCAGTGGGTCATTGAGGCTTTAACCAGCTCGTCTTTTGTTTCCCATTCCAATAAAAGTTTGTACATTTTAGAGAATAGTTTTTCCTAATTCTGCAATAACTCTTTCAAATTGTGAGCTTTGGTCTAAAATTTTTTTTCTTATCTAATTTAAACATATAAAGTTGATACTACTGTAACCAATCAGTAACATGGCTCCTTAGTTCTTCCATAGGTTTCAATCTGGGTTCATTCCCTGTGAAATCTAGCAAGTATCTATAGGATGCCCACTGTCTATCCATGTTGATGCTCTTGATTGTAATTGCTTCAGTTGGCAATAACCATAGGAGTGTTTTTCCTTCTAGCAGGTTTTAATATTTTCCCCACTCTGTACAAATTCCTCCTAATAATATGGTTCACATAACTCTTATAGATTTTAGCTTTCCCATACCAAAGACATGCATGCCTGCTGAATTTAATATCATGGCCTTCCAGATCTAAAATGTGACCATTTTTCAATACAATCCATTTCCTTAGCCAACACAAACAAACCGCCTCATAATAAAATTGAAGGTCTGGCAGCGAATAACTGTTTTCTAGCCATACCTGAATGTCATTTATTTTTTTAATGTCAACGTTAGTATTCAGCTCAAGCCACTGGTTCAAAAGTACTGGGATATTGCGCATCTATTACATTATCAATCCATAGTGTATTTACTTATCCTTTCCCAAAGATCTGCTACCATTTCCCTCTTCGCTACAGGAAACTACTTCAACTCAAGTGACTTCCTAAAACCAGTCAACCGCTTTCTTAGTAACTTAGGATAATGGATTTCTTGGAAGTCCTGCTTTACTATAAACCAACAGGCCTTCTTTCCTGTTTTTTGACATCTCTAACAAATTCTATTAAA